ATTAAATAAGACTAACTCACAGCTAACACAAGAAACAAAAAATAAACAAGGGAATAAGTTAGGTTAGATGAGATAAGGGAGGTTATGTGAAATAAGATTAGATAAGAAGGGAGGTTTTGACGCTACCCGCTACTAAATAAGTACCAACATTCGCAACTCGAGTCATGTTATTATTAATATTATATTAATGTTAAAATCATGGTCCAAACTTTGGAAAATTCTACTCAGCCAAGACAAATCACAATACATTACTTCCACTCTTCGACATGAAACATACTCTCCTATTTACCTTGACAATGCCGAAATTCCGCAAACACATAAAAATCATGGACTGACATTCGACAGAAGAATGACATGGTGCCAACATATCAACAAATAAAAATATTAAACCTACGACTATTATACTCACTTCTGTCAAATTGCTCAAAATTAAACCTACACCTAAAACAAACACATTTATCTATTTAAGCCAATATGGGGCTACGTTTTCACAAATTTACGAAACATCTAAAACCTCCCACATACGAAAACTACATACGTTCAAAAACTTTCTGGACCATCATTAAACCTCTATGATACGTCCAAAACATTAGGACACACTACAAATGATTTCACAACTTACATGAACATACTACCATACCCGTACAAGATATGGATGCCTACATTAAACATGAGCTAAAACACGCTTAGAAGTATCAAAACAAGCTGGATGAGGGATCATCTCGCATAAAAAGTATACTAAAATCTAATTTTTTTTTTGTTTATAATTTTATTGAAATTTACAACTGTATTACATTAAAAATACAATACGTAAATGTGACATTGGTAACATGACATGTAAAATATGAAGAGAAACTACCCATTGGTAGAACTCAAATATACTAAAATCAAGATAGGAAGGGATGCCACTATGCACTTCTCTCTCTTACGTCGTTCAACATAACTACTCTTATAGACAACAGATTCACTGAATGTCGTAACTTGAGACAGGTGTCGGTGAATCAAGTTAAAAAAAATATTAAGAAATTCATAATGTGATAAATCCACCAGTTTTTATCAGCGATTACCAAATTACTCTAAGAGACGGAAGGATGGCTTGAGGCAGAAATGGGCTAATGCTGCGTTGAGTACCGAGTACTAAGTATCTTTATCAGATTTTCTTTTTTTGTTTAGTATCAATCGACGAACTTTATTGTTATAAAAAAAAAAAATGGAAACAACGAATATAAATATAAATGTAAATGTTAGTTTGTCCAAAACAGCAAATCTCTGAAAGTTCTTCACCGATTACTTTAAAATTGAAACGTTGCAATCGTACACAATTCATTACCATCCGGTCTTTCGGTCTTTCATTTCGAAATGGGGGCGGAGAATTGTGAGTTGCTATAGATTATTCTATATATATATATAATTTATATTATATAGAATATATAGATATATAATATATTATATAGAATATACAGAATATTATATATATATATATATATATATATATATAAAATATATATATATATATTTATATTATATAGAATATATAGATATATAATATATTATATAGAATATACAGAATATTATAATATATATATAATATATATATATATATATATAAATATATATATATATATATATATATATATAACGGCAACAAGATTTTAATGAGACTTGTCTAAAATATGTACCTTGAAGGCCTTTTAATTTACAACTTACTTCCCCGATGGATTTAGAATTTCATTCGCGAATAACTCAAAAAGTACAAAATTTTTGGTTAATTAAACCTCTCAGATATTGAAGGAAGTTAGTATACTGCTCTACATATAATGGGTGATAAAATTTCATGAAGCAGTCTTTTTAAAAAAAAAAAAAATTATTTTATTTTTGCCAACGTTTCAACCCAAACATGTGGGTCCATCTTCAGGACGTGGTTTGAGCACTGAGGGTGTTCAAGTACTGTGAAGTCAGTCCAGTACTCAAACCACGCCCTGAAGATGACCCACATGTTTGGGTTGAAACGTTGGCAAAAATTAAAAAAAAAATTTTTTAAAAAGACTGCGTCCTGAATATTTATCACCCTTAAACCTCTGTGTATTTCAAAGCTTCTTGAATTATATAATAATAGAAAAAATCTTCGTGATCGATATCATTTCCGAAAAGATATTTTCATTCATTTTTTTTAATATATATATTTTTAGAGAGGTTTATTATGACAAATTTATATTAGGAATGCAGCTATAGTATGAGTTCAATGTTGAAATGAACAATTTGTACCGACCGAATGAGCAAAGTGGGTTGAAATATGTTAATAAGGAAAAATCGAAATAAGAAAACAAATTGGTATTTCACACCTAGAAAAAACTTAAATAAGAATTTTCATAGTAATCGAAAAAAAAAATTTGCCTCAAATTTTCACCGAATGAGTGGATTGAAATATCTTATATTGTATTTATATCACATACTTTTGTAGGCCACCTTCTTTCCCAATATTGTGATCAAATTACCTCACGATTCTAGTAGACAGCAAGTGGTTTTTCATGAGTTATTGGTAGCTCGTTAAATAAATAAAGTTTACTAATATCCAGCTTGAAAACGCTTTTTTCCAAATATTTTCGTAAATAAAAACGTTATAGGTTATGATAATATGAAGAAAGAGAAATTTGTTTTCGAATCTTGAACTAACACATTTGAAAATAATGACGAGATAAATTTTCCCAAATGGACTAATCCCATTTACGCCTTGTTTTATTTTCAATCGTCCGAGAATTTTTACTCGATAATAATTATCACAATGGCATTGGAACGGACGCGCATATCTTCGCGATATTGTAGAAGCAATAACTATGTCAATATTGACTACCATCTTCCATTAAAGGTTATGCAAATAATAAGAAATAAAAATATTGCTAGTATTAACTGTAAAAAAAAAAAGAAGTTGATTAAATAAAAGGCGGATGTGTCCTTCATGAAATTGTTTTCCTCGATTCGAGAGTGTCGATTGCTTTATAATAATCGCATTTCTAGATCAAGGAAAAATTATCTTTCTTAAACCTTTTAGAACTGTTAAGATTAAAAAAAAAATAAAAAAAAACCTATGTTAATAGTAAACCCTAGTGCTATAGAATAATTAACAGCATTGGTTTTGTTTTAATCATAATATTGACAAGAAGTATACGTCAATCTAGATAAGACTTTTTTTGGTGATTGTAAATTGAAACATCTTGAGGATATGTCTCACCTTTCTAAGGATGTTGAGAAATTATCGATACATTGATATTTTATATATATCGATATTTTTAACCAATGGTTTTTATATCGATATTAAACATTGTCTAGGGAAACATATTTAAAAAGAAAAATTAAATAAATATCTACAAGAAAATTCGTCTGACTAGTTATATGAGATCATTGATGAACATCGGAAATTCATCAAAGGATTATCGCTGAGGTTAGGAATATGCACTATGTTAACCACCGATGAGTTTAGGAATAGCCTGATGGATTTCTGATGTTGATAACAGCTCTGAGTTTAGAAAAAATGTCACATAGAACTGAGTTTTTTTTTTTTTTTCGTCTATAAAAATGTATTTATGGCCAGTTAAGTTTTTGTTGACAATCAGCAAATGTGTTGGCGATACAGGAAATAATGACATGACAGGCATGGGGAAGGAAATTACTCAGCAATACCTCTTCCCTAACTTGTTCCAATTACTTAAGTTATTTCAGGAAAGAGATCTCTCAATCTATGACTTTATGGTCCTTAAAAATAAGTTTTAATTTCTAAATTTAAATAAAATAAATAATAATAATCGATAAATTTTAATAAATTAAAAAAGTTCACATCCTTAATTTGGTTTCGAAAATACCTTATATTAGATTTACATTCATTGGAAAATCATTAAATTTATCATTATTAATAATATTCATGATGACAAGAAACGGATAAACATGATATTAAATATTCTTTTCAAATTTTAAACACAAACTATTGTCCTTCGGAATAGTCAACCCATTTTCAAATAACCGATTAAACCCTACACTATGACTTTAATAACATCCTATTTAATCTAAATCTTATTCTAGAAAAATTCTCCAAATTTCACCAGAACCTTACGTATCATCCAAATCTCTATGCATAATCCATATCTATACCAATCCCTATAATCCTCCAAGAAAGTTAACACATTGGTACCGCCAATTTTCGTAGAATGAATATGAATATATATAACAGTTCTGGCAATGGCTATAATTTCCACTCAAGACAGGAATTTATATGGCTATGCGCTTTCGCTCGATCTCCACTGGCTTTAGCTCCAGTGACTCTGTCGAGAGAGTAACGAAGAGATCTCCTGGACTGCTGCTTTTCCCTCATTGGAGGGACAAGCCCAACTTGGAGCTTCCTCGCCTGTTTGTAAATAGTTTATGTGTTATATCTGTGATTTTTTAATACGTTTATTAAGTTATTTTATTTTAATTTATTATAAATTCTTTTTCTCCTTTTTATTTTCTGTGAATATAATTCTATTGTAGTCTTAACTCACTATAATTATTGTATGTGTGAGAGATTATTACATTATCCAATAAATAAAGAAAAACAAAATTAAAACTCATATTAGTATTACTACTGTTCTGTTATTCCATTTAATATATTTTTATTCATTGTGCATATGGTGTGAATGAACTCCTAGAGCACATTATTAATTCCTAAGTTGTGACAAAATGTAATGTAATTCAATAAAGAATGGTCTAAAAGTAAAAAAAAAAACTATGTTTATTTATTTTTTTGAGGTACTCGAAAATAGACCTGCTTTAGGCAATATTTCCTAAGCACCCCATCCAAGGATTTAGAATTTTGGAGATCTTATAATTAGGAAATTATAATTTGTCTTTGATAGACAATAATTATCAAATTATGATAATAATCTATGTGCGCTATAAGTATATATTGATAAGTATGATAATTATCAAATTATGATAATTGAAGCTATTGTGAATGAGAAAATGAAGGATTAGATGTCATTGACTCGTTTTCTACACCAGTTAGTTGTTGGATGATGGTAGGAGGATAGACCGGATAGACAGCACACCTGGACGGCGATCTGACAAAGGATACGGGGTACCGTCAATAGGAGAGGCTCATCCACAAAGCTTTGTCTGCTGCCGCTCTTCTTCTCCCAGATCCTGACCCTTCGCATTACTTCTAGTTTAGTCCTCTTTAGTCCTATCTCTGCACGGTGGGTGCCTCCACTGCTTTCAACTGATCATAGAGGCTGATATACCATTCAGGATTAGTTTCAGGGGATAATGATGTCTTCAATGAGCTTATATCTGTATAGTAATCATAGGCTGATTAGTTTGTTTTACAACGAATAATATGAATAATAAAAATAAATATTATTTTCTGTTGGTAGTATTCCTTATTATGGATAAGTAGATGAGTCTTTTGTAATTAATTGAAAGTTTCGAGCGTTTGTCTAGTAAGTATTGGAGCAGTCGGGAACCTCTAATTTTAAATCAGAATTTGAAGAAAATAGGTCCAATAGTTTCGGAGAAAATGCGCGGACGGCGGAAGGATAAACAAAAGATTCGTTTTTCGAATTTTAAGTATCCTGATAGGTAAAACCTCAATTTTTGTTGGGGGGTTAAGTTTTTACATTTGTTTTCGATCACAATGGTTCATTATTGAAAATAATAAACCAAAATGTATGGAATGTTTACTGTCGAAAATGTGCTCGTTCATGATCAAAATGGGGAAGAACTGGAAAATAGCTTTTCTACATGTGTATGCGTACATTAATAATAAATTAATTTAACATATAGAATTTTTTATTTTACAATTATATATATTACAAAAAAACTTTAGCGTTCGTTTCTCAGATAGTTCAAAATCGGATTTCATTAGAAGTGAAGTTCTTTTTTAAGGAATATATTTAATAAATTGTAGCGATGTGCATCGGTATGGAGTTAAGCTATGTTCTATGGTGGGTGAATGTGTGTGTACATTAATAATATATTAATTTAACAGACATTATTGTAAATTTTAAAATCAGATCAGTACCTGAACGTAAATTGTAAAGAAACTTCTGCATTTTTTCTCAGATTGTACAAAATCTTAATAATAATAATAATAGGCTTAGTGAACCCGAAGGTTCGATGCCGACACCACCAATCGCATATTACACACCTCCCTCCACCGTTCGCCGTCCAAACCCAGTCCCTTCAGATCGGCTTTAATGCAATCTTTCCAAGTTCACTTCGTTCTACCCCTCGGACGCTTACCCTTTGGCACAGCAAATGTTAACCTTTTAGGAATTCTCTCGTTACTAAGCCCAACAACTTTACAAGCCCATTTGATTCGCGCGATGAAATTAACTCAATTATATTACCCGGATACAGTTCACGCAACTCGGTGTTGTGGTACAAAATCTTAATTCATAATAATACTTCTTCTATAAGGAATACCTTTTGTAATTGTTTAAAGTGCACCAAAGTGGATTCGGGACTACACTGACAGGTTTAGTATAATGTTTAAAAAAGTGGGTTTATATGCAAAAACTCGTCGTGTACATTATAATTTATAATCACATAGAATATAAGAGTGCGTAAATTAGGAATCCATTGATTAAACTAGCATTTATCTGTAACAATCAGTTTATCTTGTAGCTATAATGAATTACATTAATGAATTTAAGTTTAATTTACCTATTTGGATTTATGCATCACAGATATTTGGAACGGCTAAAAAGACTCACTTAAACAAACTTCAAATCTTTCAAGCAAAAACATTCAGAACAATTACAAAAGCACCTTGGTACGTTAGCAACATAACCTTACATACTGACCTCCATATGCCGACTGTTAACGAACTCATACGAACTCATTACAAACGATTCCATGACAACTTACAAGGACATCCTAATACACTTATAAATGACATGGCCACTACGAATATGCCAGGTAACGTCTGTAGGAGACTGAAGAGGAGCTGGATGAGGGACCTCCTCGCCTAATGTAGATATCACGCCGAGTGAGGTGCCGCTGGGCACTGATCCTCCTCATGCCTTTCATGACAATTCTATTAATCAATCGACCTCACATTCACTGGTTGTCATTACCATCATGACAGGTGTGAATAAAACATTAAAGCTAAAAAAAAGTTTAATTTATGACCATAACATATGTATTTTGGACTTGAAAATCTACAAATAAACCTGAAAAGTCATCAGATGAATGAAAATGTTATAAATTAATTTTAATATAACAATTTAAAATATTCCTCGTGAAATTAAATAAAATTAAAACCTTTCAAATGTTTGTGTATTTTTTACAAAATCTTATAAAAGCACAACATGTCTGTTTCTGTTGTTTGACTGTTCTTTGTAAGGTAATATATAATATAAATATCACTATAATAGTTTATTACTCAGCAGATAGTAGATATCATGACATTATATTTTTACTTATATCGGCTTCCCTAATAAAGACGAAGTTTTTGTCAACAGTCGTTGACGTATAGTTTTATGATAGGCGGATCTACGGGTGGGGGGGAGGAGGGCTTTCGGGCTGAAGCCCCCCCTAAATGGTAAAATATAACCATGTTTTACAGAAAAAAATACTAAAAACTATCTCTTAAGTTATTTTTGTTCCTGTAATTACAGTTAATAGGACTTCAAGAACTACTTAAACACCATTTCATATAGATAGTTAATTTCTTTCTTTTTTTTTCAAATTGATTATCGTTATTTGTGTATGAAAAAAAAAATTTTCGGGCTGAAGCCCCCCCAAAAAAATTATATCTTGGATCCGTTAGTGTTACGATGTGAAAACATGCAAACTGCTTCTTTAATAGTTACGAGATATCACTTCATAGCAATCGATAGGTAAAAAGAAAACAAATATTCTTTTGATTATTATCATGTTTTTATAAATAAATATATCTCAATGCTGCGGGAAATGACGAACACGTGGCGAGATCACGTACTCACTATAAGAAGAGTAAACATAAGAAATTTTTTTGTACCTTTTTCATGGAAGATGGAATGAAGGTCGACCAATTGTTCAGGGAAAACCTTGGCACGACAATCCCCGCCACTTACACACGCGATTTTCCCCAGTGAATGTCGAAGGAAACGGAACATAATTGTTGTAGATATAATCATCGGGATCGTATCCTCGGGGAGATGTTCTTCGGGAGAGGTATGGGAAGAAGGAAGTCCATTGTTTAGATTTGTGGTCTCCAAACTCTGGTTCAAAAAGGTTTTTTTTTTTGCATAGTAAAATTTAAGAAACTATTAAAAAAAATATGAAATTTATTAAATGACTCAAACACGAGATTACTCCAAAATCTATTGCATAAGTTGTTTATCTTAGGAGTCTAATTTCTCAAACGATGTGTCATTTTAGAGCAAATAATTTTTTTATTTCCATTACGAGCCATGGCTGGCGGTACACAGTGGAGGCCAAGCCATTTCGAGAGTTTGCTGTCGATAACACTCAAAGAGATTTCAGTCACAAATTTATATTATTATGTTAGGCGACGTTTCGACCCAAACATGTGGGTCATTCTTAGAGCTAAAAATTAAACAATATAAAATAACATCTGTAAAATAATAAATATAAAAATGTAAGATAACACCTGTTACAAATAACAGTAAAAAGATAATATTATTAAAGAGTAAATAAGTAAGATAATAGTAATGAGACTGAGTAAAGAGAATCAAAAATTAACAGAATGGCAATATATATATTCGCAAAAAACAAATGAGAGTCCTCATCTAAATAATTATATAAATATAATTACGGTCGTAAAGGTCATCGTTCACAATCAATTCGATCACACTTGTTCATGGAGTGCTGAATCCCATCCGGGTTTTGTCTGAAAAACTGTTTTCATAAACAAGTGTGACCGAAGTGATTGTGGTCCATATTTTATACTGGAAATATTTTATTTATTACTAAAAGATTTGTACAAATTATATATTTAGTTACAACTTTAATACGTATTGCATTTGTGTTATATAGCATTAGTAATGTATTTGTTATATCTAACGTGTAAATTTTCCAGCCAGACCTCCTTTAATTTTATTTAGTAAAATACAGATTGTTTTCAATTTATTTATCTATCTAAAGTTGTTGGGCTTAGTAACGAGAGAATTCCTAAAAGGTTAATATTTGCTGTGCTGAATGGTAAGCGTCCAGGGGTAGACCGAAGCGAGGTGGGAAGATTGCATTAAAGCCGATCTGAAGGGACTGGGTTTGGACGCGAACGGTGGAGGGAGGTGTGTAATAAGCGATTGGTGGTTCGGCATCGAACCTTCGGGTTGCAAACCTTTTATTTTATTATTATTATTATCTAAAATATAAATATAGGACATTGACATACCCTCGACATTTGGAACGTTTATCTCAAGAAAAATTGACAATTTTCGATTGTTTTCTAATAAGGAGTATTAGACTTTCTAAAGAAGTTAACAGAACAACAAAAAACAATAAAACAAAAATGCTTTAACAACACCATACCTTTACTAATGCTGTTCTAATTTGTATTATATATTTTTCATTAGCTTTGTTTTTTAGTGCGGAATCTTTTTAGCAAAAATTTTAAAATCAAAAGTTTAGTCTATGTTTAAAGGTATAATGGATTTTATTTATGTTCTAATGCACCGTAATACGATTGTTAAACGTTTATTTGAATGAGTGTGCTAACATTACAAAAATAACTAGAATAATTTAACAAACAGTTTTATATATTTTAAAATCATACTAATACTTCATTGTAAATTGCATAGAAACTTCTGTTCTCAGATAGTTAAAAATCGTAGTTCATAATTCATTAGTAGATGAAATCAAATTTTTTTTCTGAGATGACTTTAGTAAATGTCGGGAAGTGTATCGGTTCGGAGCTGACTCAACACTGAGGCGAAGTAGTGATCGAACTTGAACAGACAGGTCACGTCTAAAGTTCAAAGCAGCGTGTTTATGTAAAAATAATTTGATAATTCACAATATAATTTATAATTGTATAGAATGTAATGATTGCGTAAATTATGAATTGATTAATTTTACTGGTAGTATCTATTTATTTAAATTCTTTTTTTTTTTTTTGAACTTTTGCCTTTCCAAACACTGTCTTGGTAAAATGTGGATGTTCGTTCTAAACCCATTTTTGCCGCAATTGCCTTATGAACGACATTCATGTGTATATATTAGTTTATATAATATATAGTATACATATATATACTATCTTACATACAGATTAATAGCTGTGTAGTATCGAAAATTGCGAAAAGTAAGTTATTCTGTATAGTTTCGGAGTTTATAATTACTCTAGCCTTCAAACGGTTGAAGATACGATAGTAAATTAACATATATTATTAAAGAAAATTTATTAAACAACTTTTTTCCTCATGACTTTTTAGTAAAATTAAAATAAAATTGTCAATGCTCCTTGGTTTATTTCAAATCACACCATACACAAAGACATGGACATACCAAAAGTAAAATCCTACATACACAACAAATACACAACATTTCACACGTCTACTCTCAATCATCCAAATCCACTCGTTCTATCTCTATCTTCCTCCCTGTTACCTGGTGAGCCTCAAGGACGACTAAAAAGGCAGTGGCCTAGAGATCTGTTGAAAAGTTAAGAAGATATCAGGAATTCAAGAAGATATAATTAACGCCAACACATTTGCTTGATGCGTACCAACGCAGTGGCAAATTTAAAATAACAAAAATAAAAAAAATAAAGAATTGGCGAGTAAAATAATGATAAAAATTCGATGAATTTTTTTTTTTCGAAATTAGTTAATTACGAGGAGGGATATCACGAAAACTATATAATATAGCGAAATAAGTCGTATAACCATCTCTATTTCAGCTTTAATTTTACATAAGACATTAGTATAGATAGAACGCATAGTTTCGAAAAAAAAAGAAAAATCCATGGGCATGGAGTAACTGACTATTATTTCATATTTTAAAACTATAAATTTAACGGTTTAGTAGCTTTATATATCTATAAGCCCTGTTTATATATACGCAAACAACATATGACCCTACAGTCTCTCTCTATCTTCAAACGACCGCCATTTTGTATTCCAGCGACTATATGCTGGCAAACGTGTATTTTTCTGATCAGCGCTGTGGATACGATCGATTTATAAGGATAAAGCTTAGTATGAAACATGACAGCTTTTTTGCCACGGGCTCCCGGACTATTAGGTAACAGTCTACAAAAACAACTCCAGAGCAATATTATCTTTAGCAATTCCTTCTTATTCATTGAAAACATGACCACGTGCTCAAGGAAGACACAAACTCCTTTTTCTTTCAGAATTGGCTCATGCATTAAATAAACTGTTTTATTGCAAAATTTGTTTAGAATCACCCTCGAGAGTTTGGTCATTAAGAACAAAGAGGCTCTGTATAGTACAAACCTCTTGGTGCATTGACATTCTTATTTTATTTAAATAATAGGTATTTATTATTAGGGAAATATTTTTTATAAAATTAATTAACTGTTTTTAAAATTATAATTAGACCTTTAAACAAAAAAAAACGCTGCAAATTATTTCACAATGGTTTATTGTTTCCAAACAATTATACATCTAAAGTAACATTTCCTTCCGAGTTACAAAGAAAAAAAAACAAAAGGTAATTCCAATTATTGGACTAAACTTTTTTTCTTTAATCATTAGTAATATGCTAAAAAAAATAGCATCAGTTCAGTAACACATTCAAAATTTAAAAACCAAACCAAGGATATAACATTAGGAGTAGAACATATTAAAAAAAAAAACAATTTTGAGAGGGGGTTAAGTTTTTGAATTTTTTGGTCGATCACAATGCTTGATTATTGAAAATAATAAACCAAAAGTATTTAAAAATCGCGATATCTCTACTAAGAGTGCTTTGATTTCGATAAAATTTCCATCATTTTGTAGGAAATTCAAATACCTTTGACACATCTCATCACAATATCAACAAAAAACTGTTTAACTGTTCGAGTTATTTGGAATTTAATTTTATCCCTCGTAACTTTTTTTCGTTGAATTATGTTATTCAGATAAATTTAAAGGACATCGAGAAAAAGACTAGCGAAGTCTCATTGAAATCTGTACATTCGTTTAGGAGCTACAGTCTATAGCACGCAGGTTTTTCGGCCGCCATTTTGAAAGTAAAAGGCGGAGAGTAATGTCGATGAAGGAGGATCATCCTCGGTGACCTCTGATTTATATAAAAATTTGAAAATGCGCGGACGGCGAAAAAAAAAAAAAATTTATTTGTTTTTCGAATTCTACGCGTCCCGAAACGTGAAATCTCAAATTTTGAGAGGGGGTTAAGTTTTTGAATATTTTGGTCGATCACAATGATTGATTAATGAAAATAATAAACCAGAAATGCAGTAAAGAATTGTTTTTTTATTTTTAATTAATGCGTGTATGCACTAACTTCTGCTGACCACTTCAGTTTGTTCCATTAGTCGGGTGAGTTGTTATGTTATTGTCGATAATTAGCAAGTATCGATACGAGGATAGTACAATCGATTATCGTTGCGATGCTAACCCTGGAAATGGTTTAACTAATAAACGAAGACCTTGGGTATTCGTAGGCGATTCTCGTCTTTTTGCGCGTGGCCGAACGCTTCCGGATCGCGAAGGCCGAACAGCGAGCACTCCTCGCGCAGGTTCGATTCTCTCTATTAACGAACAGCGACCTTCGACGGCTAGGTCCTTTCACGCCGAATGAAAGTCAGGTCTGAGTCGAGCTACAGGAAAGTCGACAGGAGAATGTGTTTATTTTGATAAAGTAGTTCGCCATCGAGGTGGGAGGGGGTTCGATCCCACGAGTCGGCCGTGAAGCGAAAAGAAAAATAAAAAAAGATGGAATCTACTAATGGCTGGTGAAACATTCTACCGGCTCAAGGTTGTCGTTCTGCTTCTGGAGTTTGTGATGTAACGCCCCCCCCCCCCAGGAGTACATCTAGTAGAATAGAATAGAAAAATAATTTTATTCTGGGACGAAGTCCCTTCAGAATAACAAAAAAGTACAGAAATTAAAATTTTATATCTGGCCAGATAAAAACAAACATAAAAAGTTAAGATAAAGATAAATCAGTAAAAAAAAAAGA